CTGGTTTGGGAATGATCTTTTAAAAAGTAGAAAGTCCTTCTGAGATGGCGCTTAATATATTTTTAACTTTTTTGTACCTCTATTATGACAGCCATAGCCAGTTGCCTTAAGTGTGTTTGTCTTGCTTGTTATTTGAGTACTCAAGTTTTTGTCCTTAATAAACAAAAATTTCCCCAGGCCTCATGCAAAATGTGTGCCTCTCTGCACTTGCACATCCTGTAACAAATTTGGGAAGACACTCGGAGGCTTGGAAAGTTAAGTTTCTTTCCTCTTGGTGTTAGGGTCATTGTGTGTATTGCTGTTTTAGCGCTTTTGAGACTAAGGACATTTATTTAACTCATTCATCAGCTTCCCAGTATATTTGTTCAGATGCTATTGTCCTTTTAATTGATTTGTTTCACTTGCAGCACACATCTGAAAGTATGCATAGCTCAAGTTTTCAGGTCTGTGTGCCCACTTGAGACTGACAAGTGAAACAGTGTTACTGCCTGCAGAGAGGGCTTTGTGCCTAAGTAGGCATCCCCAGTCTGTTCCCCAGTGCCATGGAGACAGTTGTTTTGACTTCTGTCACTAAATTAGTTCTGTCTGTATTGGGAAGTCGTAAGAGGACCATACTTTGTATATGTGGTGCTTTTGAGATTTGTCCATGTTGTGTAGTGTGAGTAGTTTGCTGATTCTGTTTTTGAGCAGTATTTTGTTTTAATACATCACATTTCAAAATGTTAAAATAGTTTTGATAGTATGCAGTTTGAGTCTATAGTGAGTTATGACCGTGCATTATTACTATTTTTTTTTATTTGTGTCCTGATATGTGGCTGTGTGAGTTTATGTGCACCGTATGATTGCAGGTGCCCATGGAGGCCGGAGGGCATCAGATCCCCTGGAACTGGAGATTGTGGGCCATCTGGTACAGGGGATGGGAGCTGAATTTGAGTCCTGAGAGGAGTAAGTGCTATTAGCTTTGAGACAGGGCTTCTCTGTGTATACCTAGAACTTACTTTGTCAATCAGGCTGGTCTTGAACTCACAGAGACCCATCCAGTAGCCCCAGGGCAGGCCAGATGCTCCCTACGGATGTATGGGTTGCAGTCACCAGAACCTGTGGATGTCACTTTATGTGGCAGAGGGGCTTTACAGGCGTAATACATCTAGGTAAACACTAAATGTAATCACGAGCTTCCTTATTAGACATATGTGGGAGATTTAGTGACGAAAGGCATTCCGCTGAAAAGGCTAGGAAATGAACTTCTTTTGAGAACTTCCAGAAGGAGCCAGCCTTGCCGACACCTTGATTGAGTCTGTCTGTGCTGCTTTCAGGCAGCGAGTGTGAGAATTTGTTACAGAACCGATAAATAGGGTACTAAGGTAGTTTGTGTCCTCATCAACACTTCACTGTCAGAAAAACTTAGTGCATCCTAAATGATATGAAGTAGTGTTTCATTGCTTTTCATTTGTTTTTCTGACAGTGCTGGTGTTAGATTCCCCCAGCATGGTCTTTTACTCGCTTTGATTAAATGTTTGTAATTTGTTCCTCTCTTATTTAACAAATATTTCTGGGATTATTAGTTTTATACATTCCAAATTACAGTCTTGTCAGGCGTATGTATTGTAAAACTTTCCCCCAGTCTGTGACTTACCTACTTAACTTTCAGTGGAACTTTTATATAAACATTCTTTAACTGTGATGGTTTCCTTTATAGGAAAAACCATGGTGGTTTTTAAGATTTTAAGGTCAAGAAAATACTCTTTGCCCCTCCAGGAGCTCGAGTCTGTCTAGCCATGAAGAATGATATGAGAACGTGATAGATGCTTTTCATGTGCATGTTGGAAAGTTGTTGAGAAGTAGACTAACTTGATGCCTTAGTGGGAAGTAGGCTGTAAATCTGTGGACTCTTACAGATGTTCCTGTACTAGAATCGTAAACCACTCTGCCTACTCTGTAATTACTAAGGCTGTTTAGGTTCTTTAATTTTGATTTTTTTGTTTTGCTTTTAGGTCTTGAAATAAGGCAATGTAGATCGTTTAGTTTTTGTTTTCATCCTCAAAATTTAATTTGATTATTCTACATCTTTTTTTGTTTCCATGAAAGTTTTTAACATTTTCCCCCCTTGCACTGCTGGTAAGTGAAAAGCTGCACCTCTGGTCTAAGTGCTCTATCCACTGAAGTGCCCTTGGCTCCAGCTCAGCATGCCGAGACATTTCAAATTGAGGAGACTAGACATTAAATAAGCATAATTAACATTTCTTCCTGGATGTTCTGGGATCCCCACCCTGCACACACCTTTGTGGTTCAGTTTGGATACTTTAATTTGCCTGTCTTCAGGTTCACAGTGTGAACGGATAAAGAATGACTTCAAGAAATAAAGTTGGTGCAGAAATCTAGTTACAGAGTAGTACTGTACGTAATAAAAGATTGGTGTGGTGAGAGTGGGTAGAGATGTGCTTGTGTTTATGGTTGTAAAACATCAGACTAGAACAAACTAGAGGAATGGGTTCTATGACAGGAAGCTAATAGGGTAGGCAGATACTTGTTATGTTGTGTGACTTTGGAATTGTATAAACATTTACACAGTTTAAGGAAAAGAATAATTCTTTAGAAGTGGAAGGCACAAAGAAACGGATTTAACTGTATCAGTTGCTGAAACCTCTGGAGAAAGCAGTTATTTCAGGGGTCTTTCTAAGGCAGTTTGCTGATTGTCCTTAGTAGAAATCTTAAACTTTGTCTAATAGTCTTAGTTTTAGAAATTACATTGGTATTATTTCAAACTTTTATATATAGTAAGATATTAAAAGTGACTGTGTATTCAAAACTGAATTTCCATATTAGAGCAAATGCCGTGAGAATAAATCAGTTATAGTGCACCTCCTGCCCAGGACCTGTGAGAGTGACTTTATTTGTGTAAAGGTTTGTAAGATGAACTTATGGATCTGGAGATGACATTGTTCTTGAATGTTCTTGATGGATCCCAAGCCCAGGGACAGGTGCTCAAAGGTTTGTGGTAACGCCTGACCGCAGGCCCAGGAATCTACTAGAGATAATAGATGTTAAAATGAAATACTTAAGCATTTAACCCAATTGAGCTTAAAGTAAATGTGTTTTAGGATAAACACACAGCTCAGCTGATGAGGAAAAGTTCCTTTTAAAGAATTGTAGCTAATAAATAAATAATAGATGGCATAGACTGAGAAAGCAACCCTAATAAATAGATCTTGCCACTGGTCATTAAAGGGTGATTGTATTGCATGGAAATGGGTGATAGCCTGCAGACTGGTGCAGTTTGTCACTAGCTGTTAAATAGGTAGAACATTGTTGGCTATGGATAAGGAATAGGATACGAACCTCAGTGTCTATTGTTGAAGGCTGAAATATAAAGTATATATAGCTAACCTACAAGGAAACCAATTAGACAACATAAATTCACACAGATGTTATTTCCTGAATCAGTTGTATGAGAAAAACAAGACTGTTCTAGATTTAAAACGACTCAGGAGGCAAGCTATCCATATGAATTGCATTGTCTGTTTTGCACCTGGGCTCAAAACAACCGTAAGATGAAATTTTCCTTTGAACCAGCCAGGCAAATGATGGGTAATAGATGATTCCAGGCTTTGATAAGGATCAAGAGGAGGACCTCTGTTCTTTTCTTATGGGCACTAATTACAGAGTTGAAATAACTTACCAGAGATTTGCCTTTTTTGTTTAAGGAAAATTAAGGTAGTACCATATCTTAATCATTGCAATAAGTGTGAGAAGTATAAATAAAACTGAAAATAAATACTATTGTACACAAAATGTGTTCCACAGAGTCTTAGGGACATGTGTATCTCTCAGAATTGACATGCTCCATGAAGGAGTAGATGCAGTAGGTAAGGAAGATAAGACATGGTATTAGGAAAATAGCAAGCTTAGCTCCTATTAATGCTGCTTGTCAGGGTGTTGTTAGTTCAGTTCAGAGTGGGAGGAGGCAGCTCTCTAGGATGTGAGTGTATGGAATTAAAGTCAGTTGATTTTTGATGAGTGTGATTGAAAATTTAATTGAGGGATGGTCATAGAGTAGAAAAGTTTGGTGGTAAAATGCATAGAAAATAAGCAAATGAAAAGACAAGTTAATTCTGGGGAGTACCAAAAAGTACACAGAAAGAAACAGTCTTACATAATTACTGCTGATCTGGTCAGATAATATACACATCATTATTAAATGCAACTGCAGAGTGACTTTCATAGTAAGAGAAGGAAAGTCAGTGGTGATGTGATGTAAAGGGAAATCAGTAGCTAATACCTGAACTTGATGTTTGAAGAGTTACTTTTGCAAGACTGGCACTTTGATGTAGGAAGGAAATTGTACTTGCTTTTATTGTGTACAGCACTAAATAAATGTGAAAACGGGTGTTAGTAGATAGAATTAATGCTGATGAGGTTGAATGGAGCCTTTTCTCCACATGCCTGCTTAATTTTCTTTAATCTTCATGAAAAGTTAAAGCGTTGTCAATAGTAGGTTTGTATATATTTTATATTTAAGTCTTCCCACCCCTCATTGTTGGGAGAATGGAATCCAGAGCCTGTTCATGTTAGGCAAGTATTCTACCGTTTAACTATATATACGCCAAGCCTTGATTTTTTTTTTTTTCCTTTTCCTCTTTCTTTTTGTTAAATCTTTTGAGAATAGACTGAAGTCCTAAAAATGAAAAAGAAAATTGGTCTTTGTGAAAATATTTTAACCATCAAGTGTTAATTTGAAAAAATTAAGACTAAAGAGAATGGCTTTAGTAAAATAGTTCAGGGCATTGATAAAGATTTTATTTGCAAAATTATATTTGCCCAAGATTTGAGTCATCCTGAGTTTAGAAGTATTTGTTGCCACACTTCAGCATTTCCATGAGCATAGAACTTCAGATGGAAGAATTTGAATTTCTCTTGTGTGCTATGGTTTGCTTCTCTAGCATGCTGAAGTCACTACTTTTACGTTAGTTTTAAAATTACTGCTTCAATGTCTTTTCTAGGGTGTATTTACCAGGCTGTTTTTGAGTGTGGATTGCACCATTGGTAAGAAAATGTCGTCCATCTTGCCATTCACTCCGCCCGTGGTGAAGAGGCTTCTGGGATGGAAAAAATCAGCCAGTGGGTCTGGAGGAGCAGGTGGCGGAGAACAGAATGGACAGGAAGAAAAGTGGTGTGAGAAAGCCGTGAAAAGTCTGGTGAAAAAGCTCAAGAAAACGGGACGATTAGATGAGCTTGAAAAAGCCATCACCACACAGAACTGCAATACTAAGTGTGTCACCATCCCGAGGTAAGTGAGGCTAGGGAACCTGCAGGAATGTTAGAATACAGTGCTTCATTCTGTTAGTTAAAGCCTGTTTACAGTTTGTCTCTTGAGTACTGAGGGTTCGTCAAGCAACACTGAGAAGATATATTGTTTTATCTCCGTTACTTAAAGTTGTATGCTATCCTCATCTCTATGATTGAAAGGTGAATAAAAAGTCACTGAACGGAAGGGAAACAAATGCCCCAAACTATGGCTGACAGGTACTGGCTAGTAGTTTCCTCCGTCATTGGCCACTCAGTGAATAGTTAGAAAGCACAGGCTTAAGAAAGGACTGTGGGTGTGGCCGTGTCTCAGAGCTGGCCTTGGACGTGGGAGGGGCCTGTGTCTCACAAGGTTGAAAGTTTGAGGAGAATTTTAGTCATTTTATAGGTAAGTACCCTAGTTAGGAGGGTTGTGGCAGGTCCTTTGAAAATATGTTCCAGTGCTTTGTGTGTGTACGTTACAGCTGCATGTGTGTGTCCAAAAGACAGATGTTCTGAGTGACAGCAGCACCATAGGTGAGGGCTGGCGTTGCTCATTCCCAGTGAGCTTTGAGAGATAGACACCCGATGCCCGCAGATGGATCCCAGTTAGACCGGACTTTCCGCTTGGCAGATAATATACATTGCTTTCTGCCTTGTTTGATGGGCTAGCCATTTTTACTTTGTTTTATGTATATCTTAAGTTACATTTCTTGGTTTGTTCTTTTGTTTTTACAAATGCTGATGAGGTGCTTGGTGTGGGTAAGGCATTACTTTTAGACAAATGGAGACGTGATGAGCAAACAGAAAGTACCTAAGGGGATTTACCTATGGAATGAGTGATTGTAGTTTGAGGAAGTAATGAACTCGGGAGACAGGTACAGGGGTGGGCGGGGAGCATGTGAGGTGGGAGGTTGCAGAGCTGCTTTGTCTGGAGAGGTAAGGTTTGAGCTGGTCTCCTGGGAGACAGAGTCTTGTAGCCAGGGGAAAGGGCCAGTGTAAGATTGCAAGGCAGGGAGAAAAAAGCTCAGCATTAGGGAGCTGGGGGAGTTTGAGTATTTGTCTAAGTTGCATAGGAGCAGAAAGTCTGTATTTTACCAAGCTGTCCTTGTCAACAAGGTACGGAGAGGGTAGAAGGGGCGTGGTGCTGTGTGGGCGTTTGCAGGTGTGTGGATGTGTCTAGGGGCGTGGAAATGTGGGGGTCAGCTGTGACCCTGTGACAGTCTAGTGCCCGTGCTTATGCTGGCACTCAGAATGGCTGCGGCTGGTACTCAGAATGGCTGCGGCTGGCCCGTGTTTTGGAAGTGGAGATCACAGGACTTAGCGCAAATTGGCCAAGATCACATTAAACTTTCCTTGTTAATTTTTGTTGTGTGGTTGGTGGCATTTCAGTTTGTAAATATTTTTAAGTGTCCACTGCTTGGCTCATGTGGGTTGGATTTGCTATTGGATGGCTTGCTTACTGGGGAGGGAGGAAGACTTTAGTAGTTCTTCGGGTATAGTACTCCTTAGGAAAGAAGCATGCCCCAGGACCTGCGTCTGAAGCTGCGTGGGAAGCCTTGTCCCAGGGAGTCTGGTGGACAGTAGAAATCAGTCGGGAGAAACTGCTTCCAGCAGGCGTTGTACTGTGCAATGGAGACCAGGGACTGGTGAAGGGTTGCTCGTTCCCACTGAGTAGATGTCGGTAGAGTATGAGCTGAGGGGCTAGTGACAGTGGGGGTCAGTGCAGGTAGAGGGAACCCACAGCACGCTGTGTAGGCGCTTGAGACTGCGCTTGAGTGCGACTCGGAAGGACAGCAGGAGACCCAGAAGGCACCTTTTTTTCTTTTTTCTTTTTTAAATGGTCCTAGGATTGAACAAATGCGGGGCCCTCACATGTGAGCAAATGCGCGACCACTGAGCTGCATCTCCCTCGCCCTTGGTTTTTCTGTCTCCTGGGATAGCTTGAGCTGGAGATCTTCCTGCTTCAGCACCCAGGACACTGGCATTGTAGAAGTGTGAAGTATGTTGCACACTCTATTTGGCAGCTTAGATTTAAATGCTGCATGCAAGTTTATTACCCGTGTGGACACATGGAGGCCAGAGGCTGGTGTTGGAGTGTTTCTCCTGGTCACTTCTCTACTGTAGTTACTGAGACAGTCTCTTACTGTACCTGAAGCTGCTGTTCCAGCGAGGCTGTCTGGAATGGGGTAGGATCACCTGCTGGCTGAGGTGGGCTAGATGCAGAACTCTTGAAGTAGCGGATAACAGTTACAAGTGATCCACGTGACGCTTTATCCTGGAGAGGGCACCTTCCCTTCTTTTCCATTCAACTGATAATCTTTTGTAAATTTTCTATTTTAGATCTCTTTCATTATTGAAATGTACTCTTTTACCCAATTAAAGATTACCTTGGTTTGACTGTTAAGATTAAGGAAAGCTTATTTGATTTACCATGCTTTTTAAAAAGGAATGTTTTTATTCCTTGAGAATAAATGTATTTTGATCATATTCACTGTTTTCTCCCCAAATCCTCCCAGACCTACCCCCCCCCCACCCCTTCTCACTGGCTTCCAACTTTAAAACAAAAGAAAAACTGATTCTAGTTTGTGCTGCCCGTACACTCCTGAGTGTGAGCCGTCCACTTCAGCTGCTTGGCCCACCAGAGGCCACACCTTTAAAGAGAATTGACTCTGTTTTCTCGAAGCCATCAGTCAGTAGCTCCTCAATAGGGGCGGGGACTTGTGAACCCTTCCCACACATGCTGGAATGCTAACTGGTTGGTACTGCGCAGGCCCTGTGTGGGTATTTAAGCTGTGTGAGCTCATGCGTGTAGCAGTCCTGTGGTGTTTAGAGGACACTTTGAATCCAGTCCTCCCCTGAGAGTGTCCCCTCCCTCTTCCACAGCGGTTCCTGAGAGGCTGCTTGGGGTGGGTGTGGCATTGATGCGCCTTTTATGGCTGGCTGTACTAACCTCTACACTCATCATTTGTAAGTTTTTTTGTTAACCAATGTCTCTGATGAGAATTAAGTGGCATTGATGTATGGGTGTAGAGATCGAAATTTAGAGGGCAGTTTGATATTACATCCATTTAGTAGAATAATAGTAGTAGGCTGGTCCCTGGAGCCTCTGAGTTCCCCAGCCATAGGTTTTGGCCAAATTTATAGTACCAGGGATGTGTCTTTTTCCTGTGGAACAGGCCTTAAATCCAGTCAGAAAGCTGTTGGTTGTCTAGTACACTCATGGCACTATTGCACCCAGGGCGTATCGTGCGCTACCTGCCATTACTATAGTTCACAGGATGCACAGCTGGCCAAGACTATTGATGCCGTTCCCCAGCAACCCACAGTAGCGCCTTCCTGTGCTGTGGAAGCTAGCCAGAGGAGGGAAGCTTCCTGTCAGTGCCAGCCTGATTCTCCTTGCCTTGTGACAAGTGTGGTTTTTTTTAAAATGTAGATTTGTTTGTGTGGATTGCTATGGATAAAAAAGCTGTGGTTTCTTACATTGTAGTTTGATGTTGTATATTTTAAAACCTTTTAACGGAAGTAGAAAAATTAAGTCAAGCTGGGCAGTGGTGGCACACGCCTTTAATCCCAGAACTCGGGAGGCAGAGGTAGCAGATCTCTGTGAGTTCGAGACCAGCCTGGTTTACAAGAGCTAGTTCCAGGACTACAGTTTATTGCTTTTTTCAAATAAAACCCAATTGATTGTAGCTGGACAAGGTCAAAATCACACATTATAGAATGCTGTTGTGACAGGAAATCTCCTAAGATGACACACAGTTTGGTTTAAGAAGGATTTAGGTATCATCTTGATGAGCCAAAAAAACCTTGTGTTAGACTCACTGTTCATACTGAGAAAGTAAAACTTGGTATATTTGTAGTTTGGTAAAGCATGCATTTAAAATGTTATGTTTGTTCATGAAAGTTTAGAAAAAGAAGTATACCAAGTATTTAGTGGTAGTTATTTATGGATGGACAAGGAGAAGAAATGTCACTATAATATTTTCCTAATGTTATATATAAAAGTACTTTACCCTTAGAGTGATTATAGTTAGATGTTCAAATAGGATTTAGGGGAATTTAATTCCTGCCTTCTTAATCCACCTCTTGTTCGCTTTCTGTGTTTTTCTGTGTCGTTTCAGCTTTAGTTTATGTGCTGCTGCTGTTAGTGCACGTGTGGTGGGTGCTCTTTGAAGTTGGTTTTCCTGTTAAAAGGCAGTTTTGAACTGAGCCTGGTTGCTACGGTCTCATTGCTCACAGGCCCAAAAGAGGTTAAACCCACAGTTTGGGTACATACGCAGCGAGACCCTGCCTCAAGAAAAAGAAATCCAAACCCAATTAAAAAAATAAAAAGACAAGTTTATTGTTTTTTTTTTTTTGGGGGGGCTTCTTTTACACACAACACACATGTCCTGCCTCCAGAAGTGTGTTACTTGGAAGCACAGAGGCCGTGTGTGCACATGGTTGGAAGTCAGCTGGAGTGCACTGCTGGAGAATAGCCCCACACCCTCCCCTCGTCTCTTCACCAGTTCCCTTCTGGTGTGGTCATCCAATACCAGGCTTTTTTCTTCAGCATCTTCTAAACTTTCAAACATCAGGGTAATGGAAAGAACTGTGTTCAGATTGTCAACTTCTTTTCTGGCTTCCTATTCAGGTGCTTTTACTTGTCTGGGCAAACTAGGATAGAGAGAAGTCATTTGGGACCCAAACTGGGATGTTCTTTTATTCTTCTTAAATGTGGGTGTTTCCTTCAGAAGAGGCTAGGTCTCCCTCCTAGTTATGCGTTGTAGGGTTGAGTGTAGTTCTGCATGGAGCACTGATGGGGAGCTTTGCATTTGCTTTGATGGCCTGGCTTTCAGTTTGCTTAGTCAGTACTGACCCATAGATCCTAGCAAAGTGGGTGTGGCTTGTTTTAGTGCTCCCTCCTGGGAGAGGAGGGGTGGTGTGAGTGCTTTCACAGTCCAGTCTCTGGCCCATTGGGGTGGTGTGATACGCTGCTGTCTGGTGGCTCACTGTGGCCCT